CATGCTGGCTGGGGAATTCTGGGAGTTGAAGTCCACACATCTTCAAGTTGCCAAGGTTGAGAAACACTAGTCTAAAGAGTGTCTTCCAACTCTATGATTTTATGTATGTTATATATATTTAAAGCATCTCTCTGGCTACTGATGGAAACAGGATGTTGGAATAACTGGCGCTTGGATCTAAACTAACAGCAGACAGTGCCATCTCTTCTGGGATTCTGAAAGGCTGTTAAGGTCTGCCTTTTGTCTCAGGCCTGGGATTAATATGTCTGGGGCAGGGGGGCTGGTGTGGTTTGTTATTGTTATGGTTGTTTTAGCCTGGGTTGTCTTTATTGTAGTTTGTTTTTAACTGTTTTTGCTGCATTTGGATTTTATAAACTGCCCAGAGTCTACTGGATTGGGCGGCTATAACAAATTTAAAAAAATCTAGGTATAATTTCTTATAGTGAATCCTGAAAATAGAGTGATATCTGTTATTCTTTGTATGAACACACATTGCAGTTCCACTGCAGATATTCAAAAGCCACTACAAAGCTTCAAAGTGTTGAAACTATGTTAAATTATGCCCACAATTTGCAAGATGCAGTTCTAGTTTTTACTTGCAGCTCAATTATTTCTGCAGTGTTTCTATTTCTGTCAAATAATCAAATTCTTCCCAGGAGACTAACTTTTGACTAACAAAAGTTATCTTTGTACTCATGTCTCATTTTTAAAAACAATGGTAAATCTATATTCAGTTAAACCTTGCTGGTCAATGACTGAAATAAAGAATTGACTGACTGTATTCAGTTAGTGGCGTGCACAATGTTTCAAATTCAAATCACCTCATTTAGAGTTCAAGACAGTGTTTTGGGTTCAAAACAACTGATTTATATTGAAACTGGACTGTATTGCCCACTTTGGAAGTATTTGACTGGGTGACCTCTGAGGTCCCTTCCAACTGTATGATTCTATGATTGCTGGACATTGTTTGCTCACCCAAATGGAAACCACATGTTTTCAAAGATCTGCCCACCAAAAGGAAAGCAATTGGTGCTTGTTTTCAGCAGGGGTGGGAAAAGTAAAGAAGCAGGGAATCCACCACTCAGAAGCCATAGTAACCACCATCTGGACAGTATCATTGCCAAAACCTGAACTCCTGACAGCTATTTCTTAAGGTAGCTTCATTTTCTGCCAGTATCAGGAGATAAGCTGTTTAAGGATACTGTGCCTAACTGCCTTAAATACAGGCATTCTATTTAGAGAGTAACCCTTGCAAATTTCTTCTACTACCAATGAAGTAGGATGTAATGGCAGCATGGTGGAGATTCCTGTTCATAGAAAGCTACCACTGTTTGACAGCCTTCAGAACCAGATGGGTGACCTTATGTGGAACATTCCATGGGTGGGTTCCCTATAGAGATAACCTGATTTTGGCCCCTTAATAACATTAATCTATAGCAGGGGTCCCCAAACGCTTTAGCTCATTGACCCCTTCATGACGTTTCAGATTGTTCATTGACTGTGAAGGAATGGTTGGATGAAGGCCGCGCTCGGGGAGATAA